TATATTATATATATATTATATAAATATATAATATATAATATATATTTATTAGTATATATACTATACTATTATATTATACTACTCTACGATGAATATTATTTTTAATAACAATAACAATATATTATATTATTATTATTATTATTATATTATTATTATATTATTATTATTATTATTATTATTATTATATTATTATTATTATTATTATTATTATTATTATTATTATTATTATTATTATTATATTATTATTATTATTATTATTATTATTATTATTATTATTATTATTATTATTATTATTATTTTATTTTTAGTAGTAGATAGAGAAATTTTGAGGAAAGAGAGTGTAGATATTAATGAGGAGAGAGGAGAGAGAGTGTGAATATTAATGAGGAGAGAGAAATTAGTTGTTGGAATAAAATATATAGGTTAGTAGTAGGTTTTAGTAGGTTTGAAAATTGAAAAAAGTATGAATAGTGTTTTTTCAATAGAAATTTGATAAGAAAAAATGGGAATTTCTGGATAAAATTGTGAAACAAACATGATCTCGGTTTTTTGAATAGTATAAAACTGGGAAGTGGGTTTGGAAATGAAACCAAACATCCCCTATGAGTTTGAACGGAAAATCAAAGTGGGGAGAATAAATCATAGAACAACTTTGGCGGTATCTACGGTTTTGACCATAATACACTCATATGCAGTCAATTACTATATAAGTAAACGTACACTCTCGTGCAATAGTATGGTAATTTACACTGGTGTAATATATATAAATTAAATTAAATTTGAGAGATTGGGTGAGTAATTTTTGGAGCGTGGGATATTAATAAAATTGATGATGATTGAATTAAGTCAACAAAAGGGGTAAGTATGAAAAAGGGGAATCGATCATCATAATTCATATAAGGCGTGCTTGGAGATGATCTTTGGATTAATAATTAATTAATACTCGTGTTTCATTACATGTCTCCCACTCCCACCTCTATGTGGGACCATATCCCTTCAGTTATATATATATATATATATATATATATATATATATATATATATATATATATATATATATATATTATATTTGAATGTCTTTCGACAAAGAATATTATATGATATATATATTCAACCGCCGTTAAGGTCTGCTAGTTGGTGGAGGAAGAGATGTTTATTTATGTTGAGTTTATCACACATGATTTATGTATAATATATTAAACTGCGTCTCTCGTATAGTTTACAAATTATATTATACAATAATTAAAGTTTACTTTGCAAGTTCTCTCATTACTAACAAAAAATTCTAACTAGATGTATTGAAGTTATATTGTTTGTTTTTTTTTTTTCTTTTTTTTTATCATTATCCTTTTTCGATCGATTATAATTTATTATTACTTGCAATTTCCCTCGCGTACACGAGAAAGAAAAAAATGACACACATAGACACTTGATTACGCGCTTACACTGAAACAAATAATTTTTCAAGAGTGACAATATCTACTATCATATTTTACGCCAATCATTTTTGTCACAATGCATTCTACCTATTTCACAAATTCAGTATTGTGAAAAAAAAAAAAAAAAAACCATCAATTTATCCACGACAACTTCATCCGATAGTCAATATCACATCGATTGCCCAGAGAGCCCCGTTTGAATATAGGAAGGGCTCTTTTCGGGCGTCTCTGAACACTATCGGGAATGGAACCGACAAAACACATAATTCATAATTACGACAAAATACAAAATATCGTCATGATCTAATCTATATAAACATTTGATGGCACCATTTATATCGACACCATAGCTTAATTTGTCGATCACTAATACTAGCTAGTACATTAATCTCATAACTCTCAACTATTAATCCTTTGATCAATGAACCATCCCATAAAAGATACTCGACAAAGACCCGAAATCAAAACGAAAATTCACAAACAAAATGAGATTTAAAAAAAAAAAAAAAAGAAGAAAAAAAAAACCATGGGATTAATTGAGGTGGATATATAATAAATATATCGTGTACAAATTAAACTCACAAATAACTCATAATTATTATTTCAAATAATAATAATGAATGAATTAATCAGCGGAAATTGACGGAAGCGCCGTAAGTCATTCCGACTTGCCAGTTGGCAGGGGCAACATTGTAAGCAATAATAGTTTCATGAGAAGTGTAAGAAGTAATCTTGAAAGAGAGAGCTTGTCCACCTAGGGTTGCGAATGCCTGGTAAGAAGCTCCCCAGTTATGGCTCATGCTTATCCAGTTTGTCTTCGTCCCCTTCACCCACATGCTCGCCACGTCACCGCTCCCTCCGACGTTCATTACGTATACGAGCAGCCAGTACCCGTTCCCCTGGAACTGGAATCTGATCCCCCCGCTTCTCACGCATGCTACTCTGTTATTTGAGACATATTAATCATGTGTCAAAAATGAAGAGACTTTTGAACTATGTAGCATGACACAGAAACGGCGATACGGGAAAAGGAAAACAGACACTGGGAAAAGGCATGTCACAAAAATAGGGATACAGGAGTTTGCGGAAAACGTGTAAATATTAAAAATATAGTGGTATATTTATAAATATAATATTTACCCTTTTCATAATAATCACAAGGGCAAATTACGGCCACCATATGAGTTATGTTCAAATTACGAAAAAAAAAACCCTCTTGTTTGGGTAATTACACCCACCTCAACTATGTATTATTTTACGAAAATACCCCCTCCAGATGTAAATTTAGGGATGTTAAATCGGTAAAACCGAACAGAAATTTCTCGTACGCCAACATTTCATACCGTTCGCCGAAATGAATATACGCTTTGGGTTCGGTAAATAACTGAATTACGTAAATTTTATGTAAAAAATATTTAAAATGGGAGGGGTGACTGTAATTACCCAAACAAGAGATTTTTTTTTTCGTAATTTGGCCATACTTGAGAATTGGCCGTAATTTGTCCCAAAAAAAAAGGATCAAGATGATAATATAATAATAACTAGAGAATATAGGAGAATAATACCTGCGGAACAAGACGGGTACAATACCAGCTTTATATTGGGCAATCTTCGTGAAAGCGGGCTGGGCCATGTCGAAATGGGTACGGGGCGGGTTGCACCACCCGCCGTTGTTGGAGTCCTGTGCCCAATTTGGTGGGCATAGATTAGTGCCTGTGATGGTGACCATAGCACCTCTGTTGCACAGCGGCGAATTTGTGCATTGGAGCTGGAAGCACTGCCCGCAACCGTACCCGTTGCTGAACTTCACTGAACTCAACGCCGCCGTATTCGTCCCGTAACCGTTGCTTATCATGTTGCCGTACCCACATGCCGCACCTGTTGTATGTAATCCCAAGTATTTTTCATTAAATTTAAGACTATATATATATATATGTATGTGCGCGCGCGCGTGTGTTTGCCACGTATTTACGTGTTTATTATACTTTTTTATTTATAGTTTTGCCCTTAATACTCCTAAAGAGAAGGGTATTTAAGTCAAACAGGTAAAGAGAGGGGTATTTAAGTAACTTTATTAGGTTTTTCGTAGATTTATCATAAATTTTTTTTTCTTTTTAATATGGTGTACACTCGCCTAAAACCACAATTAAAATAGGAAGGAGTTAGTAAAGAGTTTTGGAATATTTTACCTATCATATTTTGGGTATATATCTAGTATTTAAAGAGTTTATTTATGATATTTTAATTAAATTTTATAAATATTTACTTATTTTATGCTATTTTTTCGGTAAAAATCCTTAGGAACCCTGTATATTTTTAGCCCACTCTGATATAAAAATATGGCTCCATAATTTAACGCGTTATCCATTTAATTGAAGAAAAAAAAAAAAAGAGTAAATGGTGAAAAGAAAATAAAAAGTTATTTACAATCGAAAATAATAACATACCCATGTTGGCAGAACCGCCGCTATCGCCGTAAAACGTGGCATGGGCAAGTTCCCACGCACTAGCTCTAAATCCCGGCGGAGCATACGCCGCCGCAGACGCCGTTCCGACGACCACCGTCACCAAGACGAAGCTAACAAGGCACAAAGAATGAAGCAAAGAAGAAGCCATATTGTATTCTCTCTTATTAATTAGCTTCTTATGTTCAAATTGAATTTCTAAAATTGACTTGTAAATAACATGTTTATATAGGATGATTAATGTAGGCCTTCGTGACCTTCACTAACATGTTACAATAATTATTTTTTCCAAGTCAAAACAATATTATAACTTTTATTTAATTCCCGATATATCCCAAAAGGTTCTTTTGGTAGGCTAACAAATGTGTCTTGTACCACGTAGTCTTAGAAAACGTGCGTGCATGTTTTAGTTTCTTGTTTCTTACATATATTAATGAAGAAAATGTAAAGTGGATGGGATCCAACAACTACTTTGCAATTGGATGGGTCGGGTATGGGTCGGATAGGGTCCGAAACCGATTTGTTTTCGGGTATGAATTGAATGGGTGGCATGAAAAATTGGATTCATTGTCTTTGTTACTCTTTTGGTTAATTGATTGTGGACATCGTTTCATTCAGAAAATGATGAATGTTAATGATTGATCGGGGGTGAAAGTCGGATGGAACGGATTAGAATCGATATCTTCAGAATTGTTTTTTATTATTTTCAAAAGTATAAAATCACTTCAAATTTCAATTCCAAAAAGCCCCGGACCCGAAAATCACACGAGTTTTAAAAAAAAAAAAAATCGGAAAGTTTAGATGTTTTTTGAGGAAATTCCATAAAATTTGCAAAAAATAATAATTATGACTTTTATAAAATATTAATAGCATGCATTTCACCGATGACTTATTCTAAATCTAAAAAAAACCTTCTATATAATCCAAGTGTATCGCAGATAATGAATTCAAAATATAAAATGAAAACATGAAATAGAGAAAGAAAGAAAATACATGAACTATCAAAATTTTGTACAAATACAACAATTTGTGAAGGTTGCAAAAAATTATTGTACAGTTAATTAATTTTTCACCAAGTATAATATGTATATATATATATATATATATATATATATATATATATATATATATATATATATATATATATATATATATATATAGTAGCAAAATAGATCAGAAATTCAAATTTTGTTTAAGGATTGATATCGGATCGAAAATCGAAAATTTCAAAAAGTCTGTATATATTTCCAAGCCCAATCAAAAAATATTCTGAAAACCAGAAATCTGGATTTTGGATTTTGAAAGAAAAGAAATGTTACAAAATTGAAAATTTCGAATCATAATCAACGAAACCTGGAAATTCCGTGTCGACTTGCGCCCTGTTGATGACCGAAAGTGGAACAACAAACAAATCAATTGGTCCATGTTGATTCCGGGCTCAAATAAGTGCAACAAATTAAAATCACTAATTACGCAATGCTCTCATATTCTAAGTCATATCCATTATTCAACAAAAAATCGAGGGTTGCGATGTAGTTGCAAAAATACAAGTATTAATTCTAAAAATATATATTTATTAATCTATTTGTTATATGATCACAAGTGTAAATTTTTTAACGGGTTAAGCGTAAGCACCTCTTCTTCACACATGGATCTGTATTTGTATAAAGACAAATCATCACATTCGAATTAAGCCTTTCGACTAACAATTTGTGTACCGAATCTTTTATTTTACGTACGTACATTTACAATAAAATATCCCTTCTTCGATCGTCTTCATTTAAGGTGCTATATCCTTATTACAATTTTTCCCCCAAAATCCTGCACGCAAATAATTCAAATAAACATTTGAGAAAATTGAGAAAAAACAAAAAGTGCTTACTGCTTAAGGTGGTCCGATCAAGATTCAAGATTCGGACGGTTCTTGATTTGACTTAAAATGTGATGCATTTACAAAAGATGTAACTACTAAAGAAGTTGTCGACTTGGTTTTTTTTGTTCAAGAAAAATTAAATTAAATTAAAATCTCAAACGACAAGTTAAAGGATAATTTTGCTTTACCTTATCATGCCTTGCTTCCTTCAGGCAATGTAATCAATCGTGTCTTAGAATCATATACCAGTGGGGTCTCGCAACTGTTAAAACGTTGCAATGTTAGAAATTAAAAATATATATATATTAAAAAAAACCGTGAAAAATAAATGCTCGTAAATTAGTTAACTTACTTTGAACATTTTAATGTGTTGACAGAACCACCACTGGATATGGATAATATGGTACCGAAGAATGACGTGTTCTCTGTGCCACAGTTTGGACAGGGGCCCTAAAAGAAATATACGTACGAAAAAAAGAAATTAATAAAAAAAAATTAATCAAATTTCAAATTTTTTTAAAGAAAAACTTACCACTAAGATCAAAAAGTCTTTCACGATGATATTTGTGAACGTGTAAGATAACCATAGTATGAGGGGCAAAGCCGCAAACCATGTGAAAATGAAACTGAACGGCTCCGAAAGCTGAAAATACGATACTTTTTTAAATTAGTGCAAAAGAATGTAAAATGCACAATAGTTAATTAGAATGAAAATTATTTTGTTTTTATTACCTCTAAGAGATAGGTGATCTCGAATCCAGTCAAATCATCAAGAAAGAAAAACCTACAGTAAAAAAAATGATGCAAGTAATGTTTGAAGCTCCGGTTTTTTTTATTATGCTCTCTCGTCCGAAAGAAAAGAGAAAATTTATTTATTCTAAAATCAAATTAAAAAAAAAAAAAAAAAAAACCCGAATAACTTACAATCCTAATGCAACGACTGCAGCCGGAACGTTCAGAAGAAACATCTTGAGGTAGTCAACGTTCAGGTCACTATAAACCTGCAATAAAACGAATTGCAACAATCACCAAAAAATAAATTCAAATATTAGAAATGACGAGATCTACACTCAGTATTGAAGTATATAGTAGCTATATAAATTTAAGTGGAAAAACGTAAACAATTTATTTTCCGGGATTTTTTTCTCTCTCTCTCTCTTCGATGAATCATTGGTTTAAACGAAAAGGTATGTTCCAAAGTCAAATTTTGTCAAAATAACTTCACAAATGAAAAAGCTATTAAAAAAATGATCATGGTAAAGATCGAACAACGGAAGTTTATTAGTTTCTCCATTTCATCTACAGTTAAACCTCTATAAATTAATACAGTCTGGACTAGGGAAACTCTATTAATTTAGCGAATTATTAAATTATCGAGTTAATTTAACACTTTTTCATCGAGTCGGGACCGAAACAAACTATTATTTAATCGAGGTTATTAATTTATCGAGGTTCTACTGTAAATTACTTTATTCTCGTTTCTTTTCCCGTCTTTACCAACCAAGGTTAAGTACAATTGTACTTCTGCTCGAGTTTGAATTGGCTAACCTTTCTACTGCGAAGACTGCATCGTGGGCCCTCAACCACAATATCGCTTCCATCTCTCTACAAAATGCTAACAGATAGAAAATCAATAAATCGAGAAAAACGTAAAAAATCCCAAAGAAGAAAAACTATAGATACAATGTTATCGGTTCAGTACATAATACATACACAAAATACGACTTAAACAAATTTAAGTACCTTAAGTTTCTGTTTCAGTTCATCGAAGTCTTTGTCGGACAAAATTGGATTCCCAGATACGTAAGCCATCGAAGCTTCCAAAAATCTTTGTTCATCGGCACCTGCAATTTTCATCGATTAAAATAATTAACACGTCATGGCCCACAAAACTGAGAAATATAATATATTATAAGATACACGAGTTGAACGGGTTCGATTCGTTTACTTAGCATTACGACACTGCTTCCCTCCCACATTAGTTCTTCCTTGAGATTGTCGAATTCTTCGTTCGACATGATAGACTTTCCTTCGTAATAGAATGACTGCGACAAAAGTAGGAGTCGAGAACATCTTTTAGTATATACCGAACAACAAAATGTTTCAATGCACTATGAAAATACGTACGGAGGTATATATATATATATATATATATATATATATATATATATATATATATATATATATATATATATATATATATATATCATTAATTAATTACCTGAAGTGCTTGTAGAAATTCTTGCTCCATTTCCCCCATGGTTCGTTTCTGTTTTTTGTCGAGACTGCAGTATTGCAATACGTTGCTATCAACAACTTCATCTTCTTGGATCTGACCTGAAAGTGAACATAGGATTCGATTCGAAACTAAAACGTTAATCCCGTCGTTTTTGCATTGGAAACCGGTCTGTCTTAACATGTTCCAAAATAGCAAAAACACATAAACACAAATCAGAAAACAAAAAGGCCAAATTTCACCAATAGTCCCTCATCTTATTATTTAGTTCCGCTTTAGTCCTTCATATCTCTATTGTCTCGTTTTCATCCCTCAGTGTTATAATTCATCTCATTATAGTCCCTTGGTATATATATATATATACGAATAATCATTTAGATTTATTTTGTTGATATGGCTTGAATTTAAGAACATATATTCTTCATCTGAATATACTTATATTTTGTATGATTTTATGTTAATATTAAAAAAAACTAATTCGATTATATATGTTCTTATATCGTTTATAGTTTATTAAAATAATTATAAGAATAGAATATACCATCCATTAAATAAAAGATTCCGTTAAAGTTAACTAAATTATAGGCCGAAGCACTATAATGAGATGAAAATAAGACAACAGAGACACGAAGGACTAAAGTGGAACTAAATAATAAGATGGGGGACTAATAGTGAGATTTGGAGAAATTCATTTATCCCCAATTCAACTATTCATAAATAACCTAAATCACACTTGTAATGAACTACAGTTTCAATCAATACATGGAAATTGATTGAACAACCATTTGTTTTAAGAAGCAGAAAGCTGACCTGGCTGATCGGCGGTGGCCTTGGGAGAAATAACCACCAGTCTGCGGCGGAGAGATAATTTTCTCGGGCCGAACTGAATTGAGTGGACTCTAGGAGCAGAGGATGGTAAAGAAGAGACGGAGACGAAGGGGTTTCTGAACTGGGCGGTCAACAATCTTGGCTTGGCTGCAGTGAACCCAAGCTTGGCGGCCATCTTTGGCGGCGGCGGCGGCGGTGGTGGAAGGAGAACAGTGGGTGGTGTGATTTAGGGGATGGGGGCATTTGAGGAAAGTGGGCGCACGCGAAATTTGATGGGTTATGGTGGAGAGGTGAGAGGTTAAGGATAAGGCGAGGGGAGGAATATGTGTGGAGGGAAAATTATTACAGCTTTTTATTTGATTTGATTTTTGCTAAAGAAAATCTTGCTGGGTTTTTGGACCTTTGCTTCGTTCTTTCTTTCTTCCTCGAGTGTTGCGAATTTGCCACGTGGCATTGTCGTGTTGTTGATGACACGTGTCTTGACTGTTGTTTTCACGTGTTAGTCACGTGAGGTGCTTGCCTGCTTGGGCTTGGTGTGCGTGTCATGTTAATTAATAATTAAGTCCATTTAGCACGGCAATCAATTTATATTGGTACACTGGGTAAATTTATGTTTTTTCGTATAATGATTTGTAAATTATATGAGAGACCCAAAATTTAGGACTAATTTCTCAATGATTATGACGAACACATGGCTTCCCCTCTTGGTTTGGACATAAAGGTTACTACCAAATTGCAAATAATTTCTTTGTTTTGCACCTATAAAATGTAGTTTCTAACCAAAAATGTCAAATTTGAGTCGAAAACATATCCTCCGACACACTCAAACACAACACACCTCACATGCAAGAAAGAAGAGAAAAGTCACTCTTTATGACCCTCCGCAAAAATTAAGTATGATTACACTCAATCCGATCGGATGCCAAATGAAACATGCAACATGTATGTTGTCAACATAATAGGGCACGAGCAATTTCAAAAAGGGGTATTAACACACGAGGTTTGAAGAAGAATGCATTTTGAATCATCTAAGATTGAAAGGTAGTAGGCAAATATTATTTTGTCGTTATTACTTCACGGAGTGTAGGTTGAAACATTGAATTGAATTTGAGTATGAGGCATATAAAGTACAAACATGACTACTTACACAATTAATATCCAGAATTAGAAGCCACCAAATTTGATCTCCTCCATACAAAATATAGAACTATATGCCTGAAATATTCTACCAAAATATCACCACATCCAATGGTTTGATTGCCCAAACAATGCGTCCAATCAAGCTGCCTAGAATCTCCAGTAACAGAAAATAGCAACAAATGTTTTATGATTCGATCAATAGTTAGAGAGTTCCGATTTTGATCTCCACTGGCCAGAAATTAGTGATGTGTTTTGAACACTATTTTCAAAATTCAGACCGATCCGATGGTTAGATTTTTCGGATTCGCCACTACACGAAAACTATTATTTCTCCAGAAAAACTAATTTTTTTTCTCCTTTTTTCGTCTACTCTGCGCAAGGAAAAGCGGGGCCGCATGTGGCTGAGCGTTCGCCATCGCCGAGTGGTGGTTTGCTGGCGGTGGAGAGAAGTTGAAAACTGGGGGAGAAAGAATGGTGGTGGAGAATAAATAAGAACTATGAAGTTGAGAGATGGGGTGATGGACGAGAAAACAGGGGGAAGAATTGGATTGGATGTAAGTTATCTTTACTGAGGGTATTTTTGGCTTCTCACGCAAGTCCAGGAGATCCACTAATTTAAAATGAGATTTAGGTATTTGAAAAAATTATTAAAGTCAATATTATTAGTTCAAAATATTTTCCATTATAGAGGGTATTGCATATTATCTCTAAACAATATGCATTGTAGGTGAATATTTTATTTTTTACGGGCTCAAGGGCAAATGACAAATAGTCTCATGACAATTTAATAAAAAATGGACATTTTTTTTGTCTTGCAAATATATCAATCTCATTCAAACTTATTGCTAATAAGGAAAACTCTTTCATATATACCAATTTACACCCAACTCCTTGAAACTCTAATTCAACTCCAATTTCATGATTTACACCCAATATAGTTCAATTTCACCAATTGACCAATTTTGACCCATGTTCCAATTTTGATCCCAATTTTGACCACCATCCCCATCAGCCGGTCTCAGATGTTGACTTTTTTTTTTTGCTAAATTTTTTTCCTGATTTTTTTTCCCGACAAGTCAGCTGTCGTTGACCGCCGGTCTCCAGTGTTGGTTTTTTTTTTTTTTTGAAAAACTTTTGTTTTAAATATTTTTCATTAATATTATTGTAGTCAAAGAGAGTAATACGTCCTAACTGTAATATTATTGTCTCAGACAATACTATTATTGTTAACATAGTAATATTAATGTATTAATTAATTTTATCGTCTTGGTCTGCAATATTGTTGCCTCAGATCGTAATATTACTGTCTCCATCTCTCCGGCCGTAATATTACTGTTTGGGACAGTAATATTAGTAATATTACTCTTTTGGCATTTAATATTATTGTCTTATCCAATAATTTTGTTGTAACACAGTACTTTAGGCAGAAAAAAAATTATAAAAAACAAATCAACGCTTTCAACAATGGCTGACCGAACGGGAAAAAAAAATTCAGAAAAAAAAAAATCTAGGCCGGAATCTGGCCAGTAAAAAAAATATTCATAAAAAAAATTATTTTCTACAAAAATATATTTTTCAAAAAATTGTGAAAATTGGGGTTAATGTGATATAGTTATTCAAATTCGGGGTCAATATTGCGACGAAATCTTGCGACGAAACTAGGACTCTTGCGACGAAATTAGGACTAATGCGACGATTTATATTTCGTCGCAGTTGGGGTCCAGATTCGTCGCCAATCAACCCGTCGCAAAGGCTGCGACGAATTCTATATTTCGACGCTACTAGGGCGACGAAAACCCTTTTCGTCGCAAAAAGTCAATTTTATAAAATAAATTAGATTTTTGTTTTTGCGACGTTTATATCTCCACTATCGTCGCTGCTGTCTGCGACGGTTTGTTGTTTTCGTCGCAAACAACAAATTTAAAAAAAATAAAATAATATTAGTTGGCGACGAAATATATATATCGTCGCAACGTATTGCCTCGATATTTCTTTGTTCGTCGCCAATGTTTGCGACGAATGCTAACTATTAGTCGCAAGATTTAGTTCTACCAAAACAAGATTTGCGACGGAACATAGTACATCGACGTATTTCATTTGCGACGAAAATGATTATATTCGTCGCAAATGTTACTGTACAGTTTTATATACATATATATATTATATATTATTTTATATATATAATAA